ATACTACCTGGCCACCGAACCTCTATGGGTCGAACAGAGTTCGAATATGTCACCAATCAGTTTAAAGTTGAGTGCTTAGAACATCCATCTACTTGGAGTATTCACGTCTACATGTAAAAGTTATGACGGTATCTAAACTCTTTGTTGCTGTAACTTTTGAATACTCATTAGCCTAGTGGATAACGCTGTGGCGTTTGAAGCGACAGATCCCAAATTCGAGTCTTCGTGGGAGGAACATCACCCAACGGTAGAAATGTACATCTATTACTATTTATTGATATACTTTTAATTCTCCGTTGTTTTGTTGGATCGAATTGTTCGACCTCTATTGACATATGGGCTCCTATGTGGATACCTCGATATTGTCCAAATTCTAATTATGGTGGTCTGTCAACTGACGAGTAGCAAGTAGGATGAAGCGCGCTTCCTAGATTCCTCTGCTAGCCATTGTCCATCATTGGTACCAAAATGCATTAAATTAATCTAATTATGTGGTGTTTTTGAAGTCTGAACCTCATAGTTAAACCCACTTAACTGTGGAAGCGAACTATGGACAGTTCAATTATTATAATCGAAGAAAAAGTAATTGGAGAAAATTTCAATGAAGAAATGTGGAATATCAAACGTCTTTAATATAAGTGAAAAATTTGGGCACTGTGGTAGGATGTAGTTCCATATTAGATTTGTTTATTTGATATAAAGCGCACAGTGATACAGTATTATTTAATTGATTACGTTTCGAGCATAAATTATTACCGCTCATAATCATATCAATGTAATCACACTTCTTTCGACATCTGATTTTATAGTCCTGTCACCTGATCTCTCTTTGTTTTTTGATTGGTAGTAAAGTTTTCCATATCTCTCGTATAGGTGTTGCGTCATTCCTATTACATGTGTTGGGTGTGGATTCGATGAACAAAGATTCAGTAATTAATCTCTCTCTCCACCTAGCTATATTAGACTTAAGTACAGTGGTTTTGTCCCATCCTATTGTGTGGTTGTGTGTTAATGAATGTAATGCAATGGCCGAGTGTTTTTCTAGGTTATTGATCTTATTGGGGTCTGCCGTTCTATGTTTAGCTAAATTCCTATGTTCTGTTAATCTAACTGACACCGACCGGCTAGTTTGACCTAGGTATTTGACTTCACAGTCATTACATGGAATTTGGTAGATTATATTATTTTGCTTAATTGGTTCTATCGGATCTTTTAGCCGACAAAGCTTACCTCTAAGTGAGTTTGTTGGTTTAAATGCTACCCTAATTCCAACCTTGTTGAGAATCCTACGTATGGTTTCTGAATTTAGCTAAACATAGAACGGCAGACCCCAATAAGATCAATAACCTAGAAAAACACTCGGCCATTGTATTACATTCATTAACACACAACCACACAATAGGGTGGGACAAAACCACTGTACTTAAGTCTAATATAGCTAGGGGGAGAGAGAGAGATTAATTACTGAATCTTACTTACTATACCAGAGATATGGAAAACTTTACTACCAATCAAAAAACAAAGAGAGATCAGGTGACAGGACTATAAAATCAGATGTCGAAAGAAGTGTGATTACATTGATATGATTATGAGCAGTAATAATTTATGCTCGAAACGTAATCAATTAAATAATACTGTATCACTGTGCGCTTTATATCAAATAAACAAATCTTATGTGGAATCAAACGTCTTTACCTGTAATCATTAAAGAATGATTGAAATGATTGCAGAAGTCTCTGTTCATCATTATTTAGTGTAAATCATTATCACGCAACAAGAAAGTCATGCTGAACTTCGAATACGTCAGAGAAGACATGATGAAAAACCTCTACTTATAGTCACTGTTTGGTACAATAACACTGGAGAAGCTGCAATTGCTGACTAATTCGAATTTACGAAAGTATACTACACTACACAAAACTCACTACTGACTGATTACATATTAAATTGGAATACCTTAATTGGCAAATTCACTGATAGTAACCTTCTTGAGCGCATTAATGATCTGATTCTGTCTAGAAATGTCAATCAATGTAAGAAAATTGGTAGACACCCTAACTGTGTGCATTTTTTGTTAACCATCATCACCAAGAGCGACATAGGACCAGGTATTACTGTGTAATGGTACAAGTTGCCACACTTCATATCACCACATCAAGTGACAAGTCAATAAAAAGAAGATGAAGGAGAAAAGAGCACTCGGTCAAAAGAAGTGGAAGTAGAAAGTAGTAAAAGAGAGGAAGGATAAATGAAAAACTGATCAAATTAAGCATAACGGTTAAGATGAGGATAATGTGTGTGTCTACGCCACTGATATCTATTGAGTTGTATCACCTTTAGTCTATAACCTGTGATCTCTCTTGTCTCACGGACCCCAACTGGCTAGTCTGCATGGTCCTACATGACTCAGTCGAACAGTCAAGGACTTCATGCATCAGTGCCATGTTTTTGTCTGACCATCCCGAGCCTTCTTCTAGTCTCCACCTACTTCGACGAGGCAGATGGTGGTTAGGCACACGTAACATATGTCTCAGCCATCTAAGTCGATGGGGATTCACCACCCCTTTAAGTGTCTAACCTCTCCTTCTTAAAACTTTACACCTGACCACTGTGTTACTAAGGTAGTGACACCACGAAACCTAGCCTATCCTATGAAGGTAACTGTGGTCAGGTAACTGAAGTCTTCTCTTGTCTTCCACCATTAATGGCCACGTTTCATGGCTATACCACAGCTTACCAGCAACTAACAATCTCAAGCTTACACAGGAAGTATAACAGACTATAAGGCAAGGTTAAGTAGCATTTATCTGAGAACTCTGTGCAAGCTTTTTCATACATTGATGATGGATAAATAGAAACTGTTTGATTCCATCCAAGTTAATATCCTTGGTTACTAAAGTCTCAGCCTAAACGTCTTATGAAAGGATTTCATGCATACACTAGAATTAAGACTGATAGTTTGAAATAAACGTATGCTCCGAAATTCGCGTTTCAGGAATGGTAACCACGTATGTGAAGAACAAACTGTCAATGCTTGCCATTTCAGTGGGCATATATCACTTCACATGCTCCTGTGGAGCTAAGTATATTGGCCGTATATGGAGGCAGACTGTTGAGCACCGATACCAACACATTTGACATGGCTTAGTAAAATTCAAAGCAGAGCAATCAAAAGCTCCATAATATAAGATTTCGTTGGCAGCGGATACACTTTCATAAAATTAACAAAGTGTAACATAATCTTCCAAAGGATGCCAAAAAACGATTACTTTTCACTGCTGAATCTCTGTGAATGGAATAATCAAAATCAGAATTGAATTTTGACACAGTTGTGGGGATGTGAAAATATTTCAAGTTGCTATTCATCGTAGACTGACATCAGTTGGAGGAACAAAGGAAACTTGGGAGCACTGAACAGCTTCTAGTCCTAGTATGGGACTCCTCAGCAGTGCGCAACCACAACACCGCACCACCAGGTATCGAACACATGGTCTTCAGGTCTCGTGACCAGCACGTTACCATTGAGCTATCCACTGAGTCAGAATCCAATGCTCCATATTTCCAATTTCTGTCAGCTCACGATATAGAGCAACCACCACCAAATATCATCGTTGAGTAACTGTCCTCACGACCATCAAGCTTTACCCCCACTGGTCACAATTTCTCATTGGAACTTCTGGAATATTTCTTGAAGCTAGTCAGCAAGGAGCAGCAGTTCAACTGAATTTTGAGGGAGTTGTGAGAATTTGGAAATATTTCAAGTTGTTATTCATCGTAGACTGACATCAGTTGAAGGAACAAAGGAAACCAGGGGTCGTGGGTGTGCACTGCTGAGGAGTCCTATACCAGGACAAAACAGTCGTCCAGTGCTCCCAGGTCCCCTTTGTTCCTCTAACTGATGTCAGTCTACGATAAATAACAACTTGAAGATCAGAATTGCATATCCAGAAGCAATTTCATCATTTTCTGTCCTTATCCCATTCTTAATTCTTAAACTTTTCAGTTCTTAAGCCTTAGTAATCCTTTAATCTTCATATGTTTATTACATAAGTGATTTTTGCCAAGCTCAGTTACACATTTCTCATTGCCATGCTCATTGACGCCAGTCTGCTCACATTGTTACGAATTCTTTACCACTTGGTTTCAACCCATATATATATAATTTTCATAGCCACAAACTAATAACAGTTTTTAGTTGGCAAATATTGACGTTTTTATGAGATTGCACAGCTGAGGAGGATGATGTCGCCGAAAAAAAATTGTTCACTGAAGTTTTAGGAATTGTAAAATTGTTTTCACACAAAAGTCTATCTTGAAATGAAGTCGGAGACTATAAAATTATGGTAAATCATTATTATTTTCGACTTCATTGTGGAATAGAAGATTTTGTTTTATCTACACTCAGCATGTGGAACAACATCTGGATTTTCAACACCAACGTCAGTCAAGTCAGTGTTTCTATATGGCTCAGGGATTTGGCGTGTTACGAGAGGGATTTCCAACAAACTACAGACAATCATCAACAACTACTCACTACGCTGGCTCGTCACTGAAGATCAGATGGCCAGAATAATAAGAATAAGCAAGGGGAACTCTGGCTGGCAACGAACGAACCAGGAACATATCAGTCAACAAATATGCATAAGGAAGTGGTGATGGATTGGGGAAGCACTGAGAAGACCATTCGGGAATATCACGCTTCAGGCACTCGAGTGGAACCCAGATGGGAAACGGCGAGTTGGGCATCCGACCTGTGGGTAAAATGGAGGAGATCGTATGAAGAGGAAATGAGAACTTCTGCGCAGTCGTGGAGCGAGGTTGAAAAGATAGCCTAGAAGAGAGTGGAATGGAGACGTGCTACTGAATTCCTATGTTCCATTAGGAACCCAAGGGACAAATAATAAGTAATAATAATAATACTGGCAATGAAGTCCATTATGTACAAATGTGATAATCAGAAATCGACTGATCATACAGTAATAAAAGTCAGTTCTACTCACCGACTGTAGGACATTTAGATCCTTCATCCATTGATCCAACTCTGTAAAATCCAGATTGGACATGATTGTTAAGATTAAAATATTCCTTTCATTAATTAATAATAATCCATGCAAAATATTGTCTGTAAAAATTAATCACTTATGAAGTATATATAACTCTTTATTCCATGTTCATGCAAAAGGTAGTTTAAAACTAGTTATTACATGGTAAATTTAAATATAATGCGTAATTTACCCTGTAAGCCTTTATTTCATTTCTCAAGGTGAAACTTTTTTGATTGGTTAACGAAATATTGTAGTATTTTACATAGACTCAATTTTAGAATGGACTGCCTCTTCACTGATTGGTTGATTTAATCCCGTGACCATGAATTTAAGGGGGTATTTCAAAAAGTAATATAATTTACTCATCCATTTTTTATGCTTAGAGCAGAAAATAGTCTCGTATTGTAAACAAAAGTTTCAATGAACAGTTTTTGGGAGAAACAGAGAATTAAGCATGCCGTTGAAAATGGGTTTAACTGCTTCCTGTCATTGATTATAGAAGAAAAGAAGAAATAAGATATTTTCAGCAATATAAGCGTAAAATATAAATTACACTTCACGTGGTTAGATAAACAGGTATACTTAATTTAGTCACAGGTGGTTTATTCAACGTCGTACTGTACATTGTTAACTAAATAGTCTGGACTGTATGTATGCATGCAATGATACCAACATTCTTAGTATTTCGAAGTATTCCGTATTGACTAGATTTTATCTGACCTACCTGTCAAGAAAAGTTAAATGACGTCAGAAAAGACATGAAAACTGTTTAGCAGGTATATCGAAAACTCTCAATCGACAACTATGAGGATCATTCACATGTCAGCCAAAAAGTGGAAAGTATTGAACCTCAGATATGTGTCATTGGTCGACTGACCCTTCTACCATTTTTGTATGACTTATAGTTGAGAAAAAACCACATGTTAAATACTATTCTTAATGAGTTTACGAGTGTTCTTCCGTCAATCGAATTCATAACAGAAGAAGAACAAAGTGATAGTATCCCATTTCTTGATGATCTCCTGGTAAGAAGGTTAGATGGAACTCTAAAACGATACACCCACTTCTTTAATCCCATACCCTTACTCTGATTATGCTACACAGAAAGAATTTGCCACCATCCGTGACTTGTTTAGTAAGAATGGTTGTCTAGTAATGTTAATAACTAAGCAAATGAATGTTATAAAGGTTAAGACAATAATGTTAACCGCTCCTAAAAGTAAATCTTCTTGAAGTTGGAATTCAAGTGTGATAACTTCTGAGAGATCATGAAACAACGCATAAAAAAAGCCTTTCAAATAGCATTCTAAGTCGATAAGTTATGTGCCATTTTCGACAACCACTTTATACTAGCTGCAAGAAATAAAGATAGTCTGCTTATTGTGCTACCCCCCATGTATATTTATCACCATTTATTATGGTTGAATAAAAAAACAGATTGGAACAGTGAAGAGCTCTGTACTTGCACACTTAGTTGAAACTTGACATCAAGTGGATAAAAGGAAAGTATTTAAAATTATTCATCGCATATCAATTAATTTACCACATGGACTAAGCTTTCGTTTACTTCACAAAGCAGAAGCGATTGTTATCCATCTTTACAAACTTAATAATTGTATTCAAAAGAAATTTATTTACCCTCTTTCATTACACTATCCATCAACACAATATATTAGTTAGTATTAGTTTGCAAGCCTCTTTCCTTATTGTTTGCTTTATTTCGAACTATAGTTATGTTTACAGTACAGAATTATTATTACGTGATACTGCATAAGTTTACCCGTTATGCATTAAAAACTGTACTATTTGACAAAATATAAAATGATTTTTGAAATGTTTATTGACTTCAAGGTCATGAAAACTGATTGCTATTGCGAAGTTGATTGATATGATTATGCCTAACATGATTTTCTTAACACAATACACAAGCTATATAAAGCAGTATGGTTGAAGTTTTATATAAAGTTGTAGGTACATAAAGTTTAAGAAATTTGCTTCATAACTTCCCAGAGGACAGATAAGCAGAGAGATGTCAGTGCAAAGGATATTGGACATTCACATAAAATATTTTTAACCAGTAGTCCACAAGAGTTTATATGCCTATATACAAACACATTTATCAGTACGCTTAATAGTGTTACACTTGCTCTATTAACAGCCTTCAAAACCAGACCCAATACAGAGTAGCCTTTACTGTGGAGTCTAGGAAAGAATAAGCGGGAAATAATAAGTAAGTATAAGCGAAACACAGGAATTTACTAAAGGTAACAATACACCAAGAAAAATCAGAAAAAAAAGCATAAACCAAGATGAATCAAGCTTGATATATTTTTCACATTACAGCCATCTACAAGACAACAGTCATGTGACTGAAGCAGCTCACATAGGTCTTATCACATCTAAGCCAAATTTAACAGTCTGACCCTTGAAGAGTTTGAGTATGATACCATTCAGTCCAAGTATCACATCGCCTTATTACCCTTCCACGTACTTATTATTATCCAGCCAGTTCACTTCAGAAGACCAGTGACTTATTCCGGTTAAGAAATTATTAAATTGAGAACAATCTTAAGAGGAGATAATCAGCACAGATACTGTTAGGTCATCTGAGTAGTTAACAAAGTTAGCTGAGGTTGAGGCTGGTAACTTATGCAAAAAGAAAAAGAAAAGGAGAAAGAACAGCAACTTGAGACACACCGCGTTCACTAAACAGCGAAGTAGAGCACTTTCCTGTATATACATGGTATTGTCTTCTGTCAAAGAAATAAACATCAAACCAGTTTGCAATCCAGGCCTCAATGTGAGTACCGGTAAGTTTGTCTAATAAAAGAGGTCTAAGGATAGAGTCAAAGGCAGAAGTAAAATCTTAGAGGGCAGATCTAACATACGTTCTAACAATAGTCATTTGCTTCCTTATTCTTACGCAAATATCAATTGTTTATAACTAGCCACCTGAGAGAAAACGCTCCATTTACCTTATCAGTTACTATGCAACTCTCAAAGTCCTAAGTCTTTACAAAAACAAGAACTGGCACGGAATCATGCTTCTGTCCGTGTCCACCCTAAACAAAATATTAAGCGGCACCATGGAGAGACTAAAAGACCCACTGGATTCAAAATTACGACCGGAACAGGCTGGTTGGCTTCAAGAAGAACAAATCATGTGCTCATCAAATTGCAACGCCACGCTATGAATCACCATAGAACAGAGCATAGAATAGCAGTCAACTGAATATTTACCTCAACTTCATCGACTTTGAAAAGGCCTTCGACAGTGTCGACCGACAAGTTATTCGGCAACTGCTTCAACACTACGGTTTTAACGCCACAAACTTTTATCAACCTCATTTAACAGCTATATGAAGACGCCATATACTAAGCGATTGACAATGAAAAACACAGTGATGCCTTTGAAGTGAAGAAAGGAGTAAGACAAGCTTATCTACTATCACTGATGACCTTCCTAATTGTGGTCGACTGGGCTGGATCATGCAACAGACAACTGTGAGCAGCGAGAAGTTGGGTAGAAGTTGTTTGACCGATGATAGACCCTAGAAGATTTGCATTTCTCTGATGATGATTTATATCTAACGTCTTGTCTCACAAACTCTAAGATCTACAGGCGAAAACCAACAAGTTGGCAGGAGAGGCAAGTTAGTGAAGAGAAATTGAACTTCCTTCAAGTGAACAAAGAGAAGACACAGATGGTGAAGATCCACAACCAACGACAACAACAAGCAGTAATCACCATGAATGTAAGAAATCTAAAGGAAGTTATCTCGTTCACCTACCTAGGCAGCATCGTTTCAACTGCAGGCGGCACAGGCACACATGAGGATGTCAAAGCCAATCAGGATCGGAAAAGCAAGACAGGCTTTCATTAACCTGAAATCAGTGTGGGGATCTACTCCACTCCACTCCACTCAGCATAAAGCATGAACAAGATCCGGATTTTCAACACTAATATCAGTCAAGTCAGTACTTCTATGTGATAGTCAAGAGAGTTTGCACGTTACGAAAAGCATTTCCAACAAACTGCAGACATGCATCATCAACAGCTTCCGCCTAAGCTCACTTGATACTGAAGGTAACATCAGATGGACAGAGTAATAATAAGAAGTAAGAAGGAACTATGGCTGGCAACGAATCAGTCAAGAAGCATTTGCCCAACAAATACACAGAAGAAAGTGGTGACGGATTGGACTGAATGGACACTGAGAAGATGGTTCGCGGACTTCACGTGCCAGGCCAGGCCGTCGAGTAGAACCCACATGGGAAACGACGAGTTGGGCATCCGAGGCGAAGGTGACATGGAGGAGATGGTGTAAGGAAGAAATGAAAAGTTGTGGGCAGTCGTGGAGTCGGGTTGGAAAGACTGGAGAGAAGAGGGTGAAACGGTGACATGCTACTGAAGCCCTATGTTCCACTAGGAACCCAAGTGTGAAATAATAATAATAATAAAATCTCAAACCATTTGATTCGTGTTTTGATTGAATTGTAAACCTATCTATTAGTGTAGCACCAAAGAAGAAGACCTAATTGAAAAGGAACATATTTTTTTGCTCAATTAGTCTTTTTTCGTGAATGTCTAAATTGGAATCTACAACGTTTGATCTTTATGTTATAGTGCATTATGGTCCGGTAATTTATTCAATTGTATATACGCGGGTGAATCAAATTGTCTGATATAGACACGGATAATCAGCTACCAACTCTGTGTTCTGTTATATCTGATTGGATGGGGAGAACTGAATAACTCGTCGTACGAGTGAATTAAGTATACGGGACTGGGCAAGTATATTTGATAGCAATCAAGCTCAAGGTCAGCGTTAAGACTGAATGAGCAGACGAAGTTATAACAACGATAAGAGCGTTTGCATGAATAAAATTAATCGTCTGTTTAATTCCTTTCGTAGTATAGATCCACTAATTAACTTTACTGATCTCACAGAATACTGAAAACTATCCGTCTTTACTTCGAGAGATACAACCTTCTTATCAAAAACAATCAACAGAATATCATAAAGATATGCAGACGCATCTTGTCTGAATGCAAGCGGAATACGATTTCATTCATTCTGTTGAAATTCAAAAAGCCATAAAATTGTAAGAAGATTCTTTCATAATCTAGATAGAAACATCAGTCCCATAGTATGATATTCATTTAGGTGATAAAAATATTATCAAATTCTTTCATAATGCTACTGTTT